GTCTGAAATGAAGGTTCTCATGAGGATTTGATCTAGAATCAGTTTGTTGACCGGTTTCCTGGAGAGAGAGATATAGCAATAACAGAGAGTAACAAAGGATCTTGATAACTGTTACTATTATAGCAATGGTGTAGTTCTAAAGAAAAGTACTTGCAAGGCGACAGCTGACAGTGTTAAAACCACAGTGAAGCACTTTATGGTTTTACTAGAAACATTTTGTGAGTAACAGTCCTTCGGGAGGACATTAAGGTGTTAAGGAAACACTTGGTAAGCTGGCAAAAACTTCATGTGGCCAAAACTTAAGGAAACTGTTCCTGACCATGTGCAAGACTATCATGTCTGTAGAGTGATGGGCAAGCCTGCTCACACACTGCCACCAGCTCCTCTCATTCATATCTTGGCTATTTGTGAACCTTTTTTTTCTCTACCAGACCCAAGCTAGGAAACCATTACTTGTTCACTATTATTGGATGTAGTGACATGTCATCCCCAAAAATTTCCCACGAGAAAAATTAATGCACATGATATTGTGAGACCACTAATAAGATTTTCCTCACAGGTTGGCTTCCCATGAGAGATTCAGTCAGGTCAGGGATCCAAACTTACTTATAAAAACTTTTGTGAGGCATTATCCTACCTGGGAATTAGGCCTATGCTTTCTACCTATATCACCCACAATCTCAAGGGGGCTCTAGAGTTTATTAGACACTGAAGTTCATGATGAGGGCTTACTTTGATCATTTTCCGAAAGACTGGGATGAAGGGATACCTTTGCTTCTGTTCGCTATGAAAGAAGTGAAGAAATCCTCAGTTTTAGCCCTTTTGAGTTAATATTTGACCAACATGTTTGTGGTCCACTCACTGTACTGAAAGAGGTAAGGATAGCAAAATCAAATCATCATCAAGCATGAAACGTTGCTTAACCATTTGATTGAGGGTCTGTGCTGTAGTTCCATAGCTTTGAAGCCAGTCTGTGCCACAGTTCTATGTGATGAGCTCAGCTCATTCATTGAAGCTGTGAGTGGAAAATTTGGGCCTAGATATGAAAGAATGGGTTGATGCAGGAAGTGTGTACCATATAAAACAAATCCTGCACCACACAGTGCATGAGAAAAAATCTGCGACCGTGTTTTTGGTTTAAAATAGCAACTTTGTGGTGTATTTTCGTATGGTTTTCATGGTTGTATTCTCAATTTCTTGGTCTCATTTGACAGAATGGAAGATATATAACAGAAATAGAGATGATTTTGATGGGTTTTAGGACTGAAAATAGCTTGAAGTTGAGCTCAATGTAGTGGAAATGTTTGATTTTTGCCAATGTTCAAGAGTAAAAAAAATCACGTCACATGTCCAATACACATCAACTGGTGGGTCTAATATGCATTAACAAATGCGCTGATATTATTCATACAATTATTACAATATTGCACAACAGTAAATCTGTTTTTTGTGTGAATAAAAAATCAAGATGGAATTCATGTGTAAAGCCTGGAAACTCAACTAATGAACAAAGAAAATGTTACTTTAGTGTTAGGAATGCCCATTTTGTTTATTCTGGGCCCTATTTTGAAAATGGCATATACTGAAATTGGCCAAATTTCCAATTTCTGATCACTTTATTGGGTAGTTGAAATAGTTGAACGGGAGATTTCTTGTGCTAAATCGATAAAATGGAACATATACTAGCAAAATAGGTAAGAATTTGGTCTACTGGAACAATGTAAATGGTCTAAAATAAGACCCAGTGGTCAAAATCATTGACACAAAAAAATTTGCAAAAGCGTAATTTCGTCATATTTCATACTTTTTGTTTTATTACCTTCAGAAAAAGATTCTCTACTAACTCATAAGAATTTTTTTTTTTTTTGAAAATTCCTGGACCATGTGGACAATTTTCAGATTGGGGGTCTGGACCCTCAAGGTGTTAATGCAACAGCATTTTAAAACCCAGAGACCTAGCAGCGAAAACTTAGTTGCTGCTCAAACTAGGATGCAACAAATACGAGAGCCCTCTGGGTGACTCAAGAAATCGTAATGACATGATTGCAAACAAACCATACCCCCGGCTGGGATTGAACCCGCGGTCATAGAGTCTCAAAACTCCAGCCCGTCGCATTAGCCACTAGACCAGCTAGCCACAATAAGATTCATCCAACTAGGTATATTTCTACACCATAGGAAGGTTAGCACAGGCACCTCTGTGACCACAAATGCAATTTTTTATAGACGAATCTCCAGCTAGCGTGGCCGTGACGAACTCTAGCTCAAGTCCCTTGAGCTAGAGTTCGTCCCAAGAGCACAGTGTCATCAGCAAAGAGCAACTGTGACAACTCCCACTTTGTGTGATTCTTCATCTTTTAACTCCACGCCTCTTGCCAAGACCCTCGCATTTACTTCTCTTACAACCCCATCTATAAATATATTAAACAACCACGGTGACATCACACATCCTTGTCTAAGGCCTACTTTTACTGCGAAATAATTTCCCTCTTTCCTACATACTCTAACTTGAGCCTCGCTATCCTCGTAAAAACTCTTCACTGCTTTCAGTAACCTACTTCCTACACCATACACCTGCAACATTGCTCCCCTATCCACCCTGTCATACGCCTTTTCCAAATCCATAAATGCCACAAAGACCTCTTTAAGCCTTATCTAAATACTGTTCACTTATATGTTTCACTGTAAACACCTGGTCCACACACCCCCTACCTTTCCTAAAGCCTCCTTGTTCATCTGCTATCCTATTTTCCGTCTTACTCTTAATTCTTTCAATAATAACTCTACCATACACTTTACCAGGTATACTCAACAGACTTATCCCCCTATAATTTTTGCACTCTCTTTTGTCCCCTTTGCCTTTATACAAAGGAACTAAGCATGCTCTCTGCCAATCCCTAGGTACCTTACCCTCTTCCATACATTTATTAAATAATTGCACCAACCACTCCAAAACTATATCCCCACCTGCTTTTAACATTTCTATCTTTATCCCATCAATCCCAGCTGCTTTACCCCCTTTCATTTTACCTACTGCCTCACGAACTTCCCCCACACTCACAACTGGCTCTTCCTCACTCCTACAAGATGTTATTCCTCCTTGCCCTATACACGAAATCACAGCTTCCCTAACTTCATCAACATTTAACAATTCCTCAAAATATTCCCTCCATCTTCCCAATACCTCTAACTCTCCATTTAATAACTCTCCTCTCCTATTTTTAACTGACAAATCCATTTGTTCTCTAGGCTTCCTTAACTTGTTAATCTCACTCCAAAACTTTTTCTTATTTTCAACAAAATTTGTTGATAACATCTCACCCACTCTCTCATTTGCTCTCTTTTTACATTGCTTCACCACTCTCTTAACCTCTCTCTTTTTCTCCATATACTCTTCCCTCCTTGCATCACTTCTACTTTGTAAAACTTATCATATGCTAACTTTTTCTCCCTTACTACTCTCTTTACATCATCATTCCACCAATCGCTCCTCTTCCCTCCCGCACGCACTTTCCTGTAACAACAAACTTCTGCTGAACACTCTAACACTACATTTTTAAACCTACCCCATACCTCTTCGACCCCATTGCCTATGCTCTCATTAGCCCATCTATCCTCCAATAGCTGTTTATATCTTACCCTAACTGTCTCCTGTTTTAGTTTATAAACCTTTACCTCTCTCTTCCCTGATGCTTCTATTCTCCTTGTATCCCATCTACCTTTTACTCTCAGTGTAGCTACAACTAGAAAGTGATCTGATATATCTGTGGCCCCTCTATAAACATGTACATCCTGAAGTCTACTCAACAGTCTTTTATCTACCAATACATAATCCAACAAACTACTGTCATTTCGCCCTACATCATATCTTGTATACTTATTTATCCTCTTTTTCTTAAAATATGTATTACCTATAACTAAACCCCTTTCTATACAAAGTTCAATCAAAGGGCTCCCATTATCATTTACACCTGGCACCCCAAACTTACCTACCACACCCTCTCTAAAAATTTCTCCTACTTTAGCATTCAGGTCCCCTACCACAATTACTCTCTCACTTAGTTCAAAGGCTCCTATACATTCACTTAACATCTCCCAAAATCTCTCTCTCTCCTCTACATTCCTCTCTTCTCCAGGTGCATACACGCTTATTATGACCCACTTTTCGCATCCAACCTTTACTTTAATCCACATAATTCTTGAATTTACACATTAATATTCTCTTTTCTCCTTCCATAACTGATCCTTCAACATTACTGCTACCCCTTCCTTTGCTCTAACTCTCTCAGATACTCCAGATTTAATCCCATTTATTTCCCCCCACCGAAACTCCCCTACCCCCTTCAGCTTTGTTTCACTTAGGGCCAGGACATCCAACTTCTTTTCATTCATAACATCAGCAATCATCTGTTTCTTGTCATCCGCACTACATCCGCGCACACTCAAGCATCCCAGTTTTATAAAGTTTTTCTTCTTCTCTTTTTTAGTAAATGTCTACAGAAGGGGTTACTAGCCCATTGCTCCCGGCATTTTAGTTGCCTCATATGACACGCATGGCTTACGGAGGAAAGATTCTTTTCCACTTCCCCATGCACAATAGAAGAAATAAAGAAGAACAAGAGGGCAATGTGTGGTGAAATATTATGCAGAGAATTCATAGCATGTAGATTAGGGGAGTGGTTACAAAAAGTATTATTCAGAGGGCTGAGGAGGGGCTGCTGAGATGGTTTGGATGTATATAGAGGATGGAGCAAAACAGGATGACTTGAAGGATGCATAAATCTGTAGGAATGCAGGGTAGGCTTGATCCCTTACATCTGTGAAGTATTATGAAGCAGCTATACAACGAAATTCAGGACCTATATTGTTATCTAATGGTCAAATCTTGGCATTTTGCTATTCCTATGACTTTTTTATGTTACTGCAGTTCAAGTGGAAACTCGTACATACTGCAATAGTTACAGCTACTAACACAAAAAGAAAAAATAAATCAGACTTACGGAAGGGCTTTGATTTTGGAGGAGGACTTGGTGACCCTGTCATCATTGAATCAAAGAGATCAGAGGCTGATGGCTTTTCTGAAAGAGACAGGCAAAACATTACACAAAAATTTAATGTCAGAAAGGCAACCTAAAATTTGGGTTGGAGGTTTGACATTCAATTTATTAAGTCAAAATATATTTTCCTCAAAGTTGGGGTTATAAAGCTTTCTTTTTATTTTGCATACATTTTTTTTTAACATCCTGGCCATCTTTCACTGAGGCAGGGTGACCCAAAAAAGAAACATTCACAATATCACTGTCTTGCCCGACGTGTGCAGATAGGACAGTTCAGATGTCCCTCCAAACAGCAAATATCCCAAACTCCTCCTTTAGAATGCAGGCAAAGTACTTCCCAACTCTTGGACTCAAGCTTGGCTAACCAGTTTTCCTGAATCACTTCACAATATATTACCTCGCTCACACTCCAACAGTTTATCAGGTTCCACTCGCTCCTAACATGCTCACACATGATGCAATACCTGCTGTTACCATCAAGTGATCCACAATTTTCTTCTTTCTTTCAACACACCGGCTGTATCCCACCGAGGCGGGGTGGCCCAAAAGGAAAAACGAAAGTTTCTCCTTTTACATTTAGTCATATATACAGGAGAAGGGGTTACTAGCCCCTTGCTCCCGGCATTCTAGTCGCCTCTTACAACATGCATGGCTTACAGAGGAAGAATTCTGTTCCACTTCCCCATGGAGGTAAGAGGAAATAAACAAGAACAAGAACTAGAAAGAAAATAGAAGAAAACCCAAAGAGGTATGTATATATATGCCTGTACATGTATGTGTAGTGTGACCTAAGTGTAAGTAGAAGTAGCAAGACATACCTGAAATCTTGCATGTGTATGAGACAGAAAAAAAAAAAAAAAAAAAAAAGACACCAGGAATTCTACCATCATGTAAAACAATTACAGGCTTTCGTTTTACACTTACTTGGCAGGACGGTAGTGCCTCCCTGGGTGGTTGCTGTCTACCAACCTACTACCTATGGTGATCCACAACTAACTTTGCATAATTTCAGAAGTATTCGACCAATTCCATTATTTTTTATCTTATTACCTATACAAAATTCTACTGTGTACATTTTTAGATACTTTTAAAATTGTGATTCAGAAGCAAATTTGTTGGTATGGTGCAGTTAATGTTAATATTTTTATTATGTACCCCATACCCATCCTGTGGATGGTAGTCGCAAGTTTACAGAGGTACATAGTGAGTCCAGGGACTGGGCATCAAAGTTTTGATAGCTGAACAAGCTACAGTGTAATGAACTATTTATGTTTATATCTAGTCACAATTGTAACAAATTATTTATGCAGATGTGAATCAGGTCACACACACACATAAAAAATAGTAGTAATGCTTTATTTACAGTAAGCAAAGTCAGGGGATTTTTTTTTCAGTGGTTTGTAATATACCACTGCGGATAAAATACATTTCTTGAATTTTTCTAAATGAGTCGTCTCTGATTTCATTAATTTTATTGCATTCCGGTACATAATGACAAGGTGTGACAACTGTCCATCTGGCAATGTTTACATTTCATTTGGTCTACATCTGGTTATGGTGATTTAACCTCCCAAAGATATTGGTAACCCAGCCAGAGTCTGGCAATAGTGACATCCAAGTCTGTTTATTTTGTTGGTGCGGCACTGTATTTTTTCATTTTTTTTGTGCCTGTCAGAAATACTTTTATTATATTAACACACTGGCTCTTTCCCACTGAGGCAAGGTGGGCACGCCTCTCTCGGTCTTGCCAGAGGCGTCCCTACACAACAGGTCAAAAATTGCAACATATCTCCACCCCTCCTTCAGAGTGCAGACACTGTACTTCTCACATCCAGGACTCATGTCTGGCTAACCAGTTTCCCTGAATCCCTTCATATCTCACATCATAATTTCATACTGTGCTTAAAAAATCAATTATACCACACAAAATTCTGTACTGTACCATTCTGCCAGCCTTTCACACTGTTCCAGATTATGGAGTAAAATTCTTCAAGCTATGGGACTGACCCCCTTAAAACTAAGTCTTCAAGGGTGATAGACTGATTATGTCATCTTTACATCTCTACTGATTCTGCTGCCTCCTCTCTACTCAACTGAAGAGGCCTATGGTGTAGGCAAAATGTTTCAGAATAAAGATACCTAACTGTTGCATACTTGTTTTACTTATCACATGTGCTTTCAAGACTTCTGTTGTTTAAAAGTTAATATAATTCACCCTATCTTTTTTCCTCTCCCTTGCTTTGGGCTTAAATAAAAGCCCAATAACTGAAGAGATTGTTTATTACAATTTTGAATCCTTGAAAATATATTTTTAACATTTCAGAAATTTTTTTAATGATTTTTTGTTACCTTTATTTCTTGTTTGTTATGAAAGCTTTTCTATCTGCTGTATGTTGGTAATTTCCATGTGAAGTTTCTCTTGATTAATTATATTTTTGTTTTTGAAAGAAAATCACCATTCTTTTTTTTCTTTTCCTCATCATCCACATTCTATTTCTATGTTTAATATCAGTTTTTAAAGCTTTCTTAATAATGAAACACATAAAGATCACGTGCATTTTTATCTTCAACTTTCCCATGCACTAGTTTAGTGCTTGTGTGCTCAAAATTGTCTGATGATTAAGTCTGACAGTTCCTTGATTCATAAACGTTACCTTGCTCAAACCTCCAAAAGCATGTTAAATTTTAGATAAACCAGATAGCTTGACTTGAGAAATAGAGGTGGAAAGTGCATGGACTGTAGAGGATTGATGGAGATGCTGCAGTTCAGAGGGTCATTTAAGTTAAGTGGTATCAAAGCACATCTGGTTATACAACTATTGCACGAGGGGAGGTGAAAGTTTTGTTCTTTGGCACAAGCCCATTTCAAGAGCACTGTAATTACTTGCAGTATATGAGTTTGTAAGTGAGCTCTCTACAACTAGATCTGATAAAAATGCTTAACATTCACCAAAAGCCCACAATCAAAAGGAGCTCTATGGCTACATTTCAATCTATCCTTAATGATTGTCAAGTCACAAACGGGGATGTGCGGAACTTGTGAATCGTTGCAGCCATGATACAGACTTATTTTTTATCTTTATGATTAGTATTATTAACATAGCTTGAAGTAATCTCCATGGAGAAGTGGAACAGAATTTTTCCTCTGTAAGCCATGCATGTCATAAGAGGTGACTAAAATGCTGGGAGCAAGGGGCTAGTAACCCCTTCTGTATTTTTTTTTTTTCAACAAGTCGGCCGTCTCCCACCGAGGCAGGGTGACCCAAAAAGAAAATACTTTCATCATCATTCAACACTTTCACCTCACTTACACATAATTACTGTTTTTGCAGAGGTGCCCAGAACACAACAGTTTAGAAGCATATATGTATAAAGATACACAACATATCCCTCCAAACTGCCAATATCCCGAAACCCCTCCTTTAGAGTGCAGGTATTGTACTTCCCATTTCCAGAACTCGAGTCTGGCTATATAAAATAACCGGTTTCCCTGAATTCCTTCACTAAATATTACCCTGCTCACACTCCAACAGATTGTCAGGTCCCATATACCATTCGCCTCCATTCACTCCTATCGAACACGCTCATGCATGCCTGCTGGAAGTCCAAGCCCCTCGCCCATAAAACCTCCCTTACCCCTTCCTTCCAACCTTTTCAAGGACTTCCTTCTCCTACAGATTTAAATGCTCTCCATGTCATTCTACTTTGATCCATTCTCTCTAAATGACCAAATCACCTTAACAACCCCTCTTCAGCCCTCTGACTAATACTTTTATTAACCCCACACCTTGTCCTAATTTCCACACTCCGAATTTTCTGCATAATATTTACACCACACATTGCCCTTTTAGGTCACCATGCCTCGGTGGGATATGGCTAGTTCATTGGAAAAAAAAAAAAAAAAAAAACGAAGTGATGCACAGTACACTCATTCACCATCCTTCTCAGATAACAATATACAATGAAGTGCTGCATTATCACAATTAGTGACATATATGATACAGTTTAGGAAATTCAAATAACATATTCAACTCACCTGTGCTTACAGTAGTAGCCTTCATTTTTTTCTTTGGTTTCTCATCAAACTCCGAGTCTGTGTCACTGACAATAAAATCTGGCTTTGGTTCCCCAGTAGAGGTTTTGCTGTAAAAAGACAAATTTTTCAGAAAATTAACTTTTAAACCAATTCTAATATTCTAGTAAGCAAGTGATGACTGTGCCCAACGTACTAGTATGCACAATTTTTTGTACCTCAAAATCTGCCACCTGCCACTATTTTTGACATCAGCACAACTCTTTCGGAATCTAATATAAAATAGATGTCACAGTTAGTTTATGCCAATTACACCGTGCTTTTAAGAGATTCTGGAGACATGGTGCAAAGGTTGGTTAATGAATTAGGAAGGATAAAGAATGAAATTAAAAAAGTGAACACAGGAAAGAGCAAGGTGATGAGGGTAACAAAGGATAAAAGACTGGAAAGTAAAAGGACACAAGTGCAACTAATGTGACATTTTACTGTGGCAACATTTCGCTCTTCAGGAGCTTTGTCAATCCGTTACTTTACATATTGTCGGTAATTCTACCAACATATATACAGATAAAAGACTGGCTATGAAATTGGGAGGAGGGAGTATGGCCGAAGTGAATGTGTTCAAATAATTGGGAGTGGATGTATCAAGAGATGGATATATGAAAGACGAGGTGAACCATAGAACTGACGAGGGGAAAAAGGCAAGTGGTGCACTGAGGCGTCTGTGGACACAAAGAACTTTATCCATGAAAGCAGAGGGGAATGTGTGAGAGTATAGTTATACCAATGCTCTTGTATGGGTGTGAGGCATGGGTTGTGAATGTTGCAACAAGGAGAAAGGTGGAGGCAGTGATGTCATGTCTGAGGGCAATGTGTGGTGTGAATATAATGCAGAGAATCTGTAGTTTGGAGATTAGGAGAAAGTGTGGGAATACCAAAACTCTTATCCAGAGGGCTGAGGAGGGGTTATTGAGATGGTTTGGACATGTAGAGAGGCTGGAACGAAATAGAATGACTTTGAGAGTGTATAAATCTGTAGTGAGGGAAGGCAGGGTAAAGGGTTGGCCTAGGAAAGGTTGGAGGGAGGGAGTAAAGGAGGTTTTGTGTGCGAGGGGCTTGGACTTCCAGCAAGCATGTGTGAGCATATTAGATAGAAGCGAATGAAGACAAATGGTTTTTAGGACTTGATGTGCTGTTGGAGAGTAAGCAAGGCAACATTTATGAAGGGATTCAGGGAAACCCACAGGCTGGACTTGATTCCTGGAGATGGGAAGTACAGTGCCGGCACTCTAAAAAAGGAGAGTTAATGCTGCAGTTTTATAACTGTAGTGTAAGCGTGTCTCTGGCAAGACAGTGATGGAGTGAATGATGATTTAAGTTTTTCTTCTTCGGGCCACCCTGCCTTGGTGGGAAACTGCCAATGTGTTAATAAAAAAATATAAAAAATGGAATGTATGAGAGTATAGTAGTACCAACACTTTTATATGGGTGTGAAGCATGAGTTTTGAATGTTGGAGGAGGAGGCTGAAGGCAGTGTAGATGTCACGTCTGAGGGCAATATTATCTAAAGAATTCGTAGCTTGGAGATAAGGTGGTGTGGGGTTACTAAAAGTATTATCCAAAGGGGTTGCTGAGGAAGTTTGCCCATTTAGAGAGGGTGGAGTGAAATAGGATGACTGGAGGGTGTATAAATCCGTGGGAGGGAAAACAGGGTAGGTGTCGCCTTACAAAAGGTTGGGAGTACTGGAGGTTTAGTGTGTGAGGGGTTTGGACATCCAGCAGGTGTGTGAAAGAGACAGGAGTGGAGGCAATTGTTTTTATGGATTTGATGAGCTGTTAAAGTGTGAGCAAGGTAACTTTTTCTGAAGGGATTCAGGGAAACCGGTTGGCTGGAGATGAGTCCTGAAGGTGGGAGGTACAATGCCTGTACTATGCAGGATGGGTAGGGACATTTGTAGTTTGATAATGGGGAGGAAAAAATTATGGAAAATATAGTAAAAATAATTAAAAAAATAAATAATTAATTGTGTAATCAAGGAAGGTATTTCTTGTTTTAATAACCCAGTCCCCTATCCTGGCATGTCAGGGCAGACAACTGAAGGAATGTCTTACACAGAATTGTCTCTTCTAAGAAATAACATTAAAAAAGTTTTGTATACTTTAAATATAATGCTATAAGAGCATTGTTGTATGTTTGAAAAACTATATAATTTTTTATCCAACACACTGGCCATATCCCACCAAGGCAGGATGACCTACAAAGAAAAACGAAAGTTTCTCTTTTTAAATTTAGTAATGTATACAGGAACTAGTCCTTTGTTCCTGGCATTTTAGTTGCCTCTTATGACATGCATAGCTTATGGAGGAAGAATTCTGTTCTACTTTCCCATGAAGACAAGAGGAAATAAACAAGAACAATTAAGAAAATAGAAGAAAACCCAGAGGGGTGTGTGTATATATCTATATGCTTGTACATGTATGTGTAGTGTGACCTAAGTGTAAGTAGTAGTAGTAGTAAAACATACCTGAAACCTTGCATGTTTATGAGGCACAAGAAAGATACCAGCAATCCTACCATCATGTAAAACAATTACAGTTTCCGTTTCACACTCAACTGGCAGGACAGTAGTACTTCCCTTACTGGTTGTTGTCTACCAGCCTACTATATAAATGTTTTAAATTATTTTCTTGTCTATCTCTGAAAAATGGTCTTGCAAAGTTGCTTTACAGCCCAGGATGAACAGACCTTGAGAAAAATCCGTTTGGCTATCACAGTAAGGCAAAATCACTGTTTGGCTATCACATTAAGGCAAAATCAGGAGTGCCTTGCACTTGAGTTCACCTTTTCTAATTCTGAAAGGGAACTGTAATACTTACTGCACTGAATCATCAAGTAAAGAATTGCTAGGAATCATTTCAGGCTCTTCTATACCAGTGTTATCATGAAGTGATTCTTCACTGTCACTTGCTTCCTCCTCACTGAAGTTGAACTTTATGTTGGATGCTGCAATAAGAGAAATGTTATTAATAATTCATCAAGTTAAAAATCATGAAGTAATCCCCAAAAATGTTATAATGCACTTATTGGAACTTTTCATAATGCAGGGAATTGGACCTGACAAAATAAATTTTTTTTAACAATGTCAATCTCCCACTGAGGTAGGGTAACCTGAAAAAGAAACACTTTCATCATCGTTAACACTATCACTGTTTTGTCAGATATGACAGCTCAGGTGTCCATCCAAACAGCAAATATCCCCACCCCTCCTTTAGAGTGAAGGCATGGTACTTCCCACCTCCGGGACTCAAGTCTGGCTAACTGGTTTTCCAGAATCCCTTCACAAATATTACCTTGCTCACACTCCAACAGCTCATCAGATCCCAAAAACCATTTGCCTCCACTCACTCCTATCTAGCAAACTCAAATATGCCTGTTGGATGTCCAACCCCCTTGCATACAAAATCTCCTTTACCCCTCACTCCATTTCCATCCAATACAGATTTATATACTTTCCAAGTCAACCTATTTTTCTCCATCCTCTCTAAATGATCAAATCAACTCAACAACCCCTCCTCAGCCCTCTGGATAATACAATATTCACATTAATATCCTACCTGCAGTTCGTCGGCCTGAAGTACGCTCTCTAGGCTGGATATCTTCTATAGATACATCACTGTCAATGTTATCTGACACATCTTCACTATCTGACTCCCACGGGTTTTTACCTTTCTTCTTTTTAGGAGATGCCTGGAAAAAAAGTCAAGTCAATAAATATTTATACAAGTGTGTATTGTATACATAATTGTAACCCAAGGAATGTTAACACTGATGCCTCAAAACTTTTTTAAAACCACTTCCAAAACCTGCATGGAAACAGTTTACTTAGTATTATATACTGTATTGTATACATGCACATTCAAACATATAGGTACAATCAAATCCCATTAATTCTAACCTGTTTCAGCTAAAAATTCAATACCCGCTCCCACCAATGAATGTTTCAAAATGGTTAGGCCATATTTTTCTTGGTCATCAAACCTACAAAAAGTGGATAAAAAAATACTGTACTTTATTAAAGGCAAATCCTTAACGCCATATTTTATTTGCACAAGATATCCAAGGATTGGTAAATACCCTATCAATGTATTTTACATTATACTGTACAATATTTAAACTGTACAAACCTGCTGAGTGATATTGTTTTACTGTGTGAACATTTTTTTAAGCAACTGCATCTGATGTTTGCTGATGATCATAATCAAAACATTACAACAAATACAGATCCCCCATGATTTAAAATGGAATTTTATAGAACTTCTACTAATTCTATCCTAATGTATATTTAACTGTGGGGTAATAAAAAAAAATCTTGTGTGGAAAGAGTTTACAAAAATAAGAACTTATGTAATGAAAGATTTTATTTTTCTGAATTGAATGAGACTAAAATGAATGGAATCAGATAGAAACTTGTGATTTTATGGTGTTGAAGCTGGAGAAAAAAAATCACTCATTGATAACAGCAATGCAAATGTGCCAGCAATATTTACTCTTGACAATTTATTGATGCCAGAATATGATTGTTATTTTATTTTTTAATTGCTTCGAACATTTAAGACCTTGAATGCATTGGAATGTGGATTCATCTGACCACAGGACTTATTTTTTTCTAGTCATCAACACTGGTGAGAAAAATATTTATTGAAAACAATATATGATTGCTAATATGCCTTGGTCTTGTTAATATTTAAGCCAGAAATTCAGTTTTGGTGCATCATCCTTGGCCCCCAAGGAGTTCAGGCTAATAGGATTTGACTGTAACAACACACAAAAGGTAATACCTTTTTAAAGTTGAGTTTAGTTTGCCTCATCCCATCTCCAGTTTTCTTTGCCCTAGATTTCTTCCCAACCATTTCAGTGGCATTTCCAAGACGAGCAGCCAGAGATTTGCCTGTGTTGGCTGATACCATTTCATCCAAATCGTCATTCTCCAGACTTTCTTTTTTCTGTAATGAAAAAAAATAAAAAAAATTTAAGATGAAGACACAAAGAAATTATATAACAGCTACTCCAGAACTCAACAAGTCTAGTATAAAAAAAAAAAAATCCCTTTTCTATGCACCCAAGTTCTTTATAACAAAATGAGTTACAAAGAAGCATAGCAAGATTGACTTTAATCTGTTTCAACCAATCTAGATTTCTTTGCCTTTGCATCCTTCATAATCAGGGTGGGTGAGTTTCCAAGACGTTCAGCCAGAGATTTGCCTGTGTTAGCTGACACCAAATCATCAAAATCATCATTCTCCAAGACATCTTTCTTATTCTGTTAGGGAGCGAGAAAAAAACCCATAAGAATAATGGCACAAAAAAAAAAAAAAAAGGGGGGGGGGGGAGAAAAAAAAAACTACAGGTGCTTGTAGAAATATACAGCATCTTCAAAAACAAAGATATTTATGATGTCATGGTTATGCATCAATCATATCTACACCCATACAAGAACAAATTCACTACATGTGAATGGAAATAATTATTTCCCTGGCAAACTATGAATTCCAAATACTGTACCTATACACATTTATTTCTTCATTACACTTCCCATCTCCTGGACTTGAGTCCTGGAGATGGGAAGTACAGTGCCTGCATTCTGAAGGAGGGGTGTTAATGTTGCAGTTTAAAAACTGTAGTGTAAAGCACCCTTCTGGCAAGACAGTGATGGAGTGAATGATGGTGAAAGTTTTTCTTTTTCGGGCCACCCTGCCTTGGTGGGAATTGGCCAGTATGTTAATAAAAAAAAAAACTTAGTCATATGGCAAAATCACTAGATATAAGTTAGTACACCTACCATCCGACTTACGACCTGCTCGACTTACGACCACTCGACTTACGACCGTGTTTTTTATGCCAAATTTCTGGGAAATAAACAACTATTTGTGTTGTACACAGTGTTTATCCTAAACCTTACAGTATAAAATACAGTACTAACAGCATAAAAAGTAAAGTAAAACATAAAATACCAAAATAAAACAAAATAAAGTCATTACAAAAATGTTATGTTGATATTCAGTAGTAAAGTTCGACTTACGACTGGTTTCTCGGAACCGAACTCGGCCGTAAGTCGGATGGTAGGTGTACTTTCTTTTCTAGCCTTCAAAGATGCCATTTTGTAGAATTAGCTTACAACGGCTTATAGAGGCAATGCTCCCCACATGCCATGTATGTACACAAATAACCTGCACATAGGAGAACAAAACTTATGACGACATTTCTGTCCAACTTAGACCATACACGTCATCATATGTTTTAGTTTCTTATGTGCAGATGTTACTGGGTTTTCGTAACAATTAGCGGATATTTGTGTATTGTTCCAGTCATGGTATTGTGCCTTTTTAGTCTCCAAGTATGTATGTGTTTGCTGCTTTTGCCCATCTGGTCATTGTATGAGGAAATGGCTGGTAATTAGTCTGGAAAATACATATTCGGCAAATTTGCTCATTAAATGGAGGAAGGGTCCTAGGTTTTCTTTGGTCATTAACCAAAATTCCAATAGGGATGACTACTGTTCACACTGACTGTGCAGACCCATTCTCTCATGCCCACGATTACCAGGTTTCTCGCACCAGATTTGAGGCCCATAAAATTGATGCTGGTATCAATAACAGATATATATGAAAGACAGTGAATGGGTTAAATATTCCTTCAAAACACTAATTATTATGAACACTATGCAAATAAGTAATGAAGAAGATAAGTGTGTTGATATGAAAGGCACAGTTAAGACAGTGAAGTTGGTACTTGGATCCAAATGTGTAAAACTTTATCAAGTTATGACAATTTGATAAAACTCTACCGTTAGTAAAACAATGTCCCAATAAAAACTTCTTCAACGTGTGTCTTTTCTGCAATGAAGTAGCTAGTTAAGAAGATTGGGTCACTTAGAAAGAATGGAGAAAGATAGGCTGGTGAAGAGTGAATATTCTTAAGTCATGGTAGAAGAAATGATATACAATGCTGACAGGTTTATGAATAAAACACATGCAAAACCTGGTTATCTCCATCGTGAAGACATTCTATTAACCACTGGCTAGCAAATGTTTTCATAATAAAGATTTTTTTTTTTTTTTTTTTTTCAACAAGTCGGCCGTCTCCCACCGAGGCAGGGTGACCCAAAAAAAAGAAAGAAAATCCCCAAAAAGAAAATACTTTCATCATCATTCAACACTTTCACCACACTCACACATTATCACTGCTTTTGCAGAGGTGCTCAGAATACAACAGTTTAGAAGCATACACATATAAAGATACACAACATATCCCTCCAAACTGCCAATATCCCAAACCCCTCCTTTAAAGCGCAGGCATTGTACTTCCCATTTCCAGGACTCAAGTCCGACTATATGAAAATAACCGGTTTCCCTGAATCCCTTCACTAAATATTACCCTGCTCACACTCCAACAGATCGTCAGGTCCCAAGTATCATTCGTCTCCATTCACTCCTATCTAACACGCTCACGCACGCTTGCTGGAAGTCCAAGCCCCTCACCCACAAAACCTCCTTTACCCCCTCTTTCCAACCCTTTCGAGGACGACCCCTACCCCTCTTTCCTTCCCCTATAGATTTATATGCTTTCCATGTCATTCTACTTTGATCCATTCTCTCTAAATGACCAAACCACCTCAACAACCCCTCTTCTGCCCTCTGACTAATGCTTTTATTAACTCCACACCTTCTCCTAATTTCCACACTCCGAATTTTCTGCATAATATTTACACCACACATTGCCCTTAGACAGGACATCTCCACTGCCTCCAACCGTCTCCTCGCTGCTGCATTTACCACCCAAGCTTCACATCCATATAAGAGTGTTGGTACTACTATACTTTCATACATTCCCTTCTTTGCCTCCATAGATAACGTTTTTTGACTCCACATATACCTCAACGCACCACTCACCTTTTTTCCCTCATCAATTCTATGATTAACCTCATCCTTCATAAATCCATCCGCCGACACGTCAACTCCCAAGTATCTGAAAACATTCACTTCTTCCATACTCCTCCTCCCCAATTTGATATCCAATTTTTCTTTATCTAAATCATTTGATACCCTCATCACCTTACTCTTTTCTATGTTCACTTTCAACTTTCTACCTTTACACACATTCTCAAACTCATCCACTAACCTTTGTAATTTTTCTTTAGAATCTCCCATAAGCACAGTATCATCAGCAAAAAGTAACTGTGTCAATTCCACATTTATCCACATTTATTCATTGAATCTAAGTCAGCTGGAAGGTGTGCAAGTGGCATCTTAGGAAGTACTGGATGGAAGAGGTGGAGGTGGTTTTGAGTGGTAGGAGCTTAAGTATCCTGCAGATACGTGTGAGCAGGTTACATAGGAGTAGAGATGCATGGGAACATCTATGAATGGATTATGGAAATGGAGTAGTAGGTGGAAAGTAGTGCCTAGACAGTCTTTGAAGGCTGAGTAAAGATGTTACATGGAATGTCATTTGAACTGTAATGTCTACACACTAGTGGCAAGAGAGCTACTGAATAAATATTAATGAACATGTTTCTTTCACTGGGTCACCTTGTGTTGGTAGGAAACAATGTAAAATATACAGCACTTTTCTTATCTTCTTTTACTTTATCTACATGAACTTGTTTGTAGCATGAACCAGTGTATTACATGTTTCTCTGAAGATATATAAATATATGTCGGAATGAGTTAGGTAATGAGGATTCAGAGACAAATTAAATAACTTCACCTTTTTTCCTCCTCTCTCTTTTGCTGCAGCTGCCTTCTCTGCTTTCTTTTTTAGTTCTGCATCAATATGTGGTACCACTCTTTCACCAAAAGCAGAAGGTACAGTCTCTGAATGCACCTGTATTGATGAAACATTAAATAGCATCAACAAAAGTTAATTGAATAAGACTTAGCATATATTATTATTTCAAATACAATATCCCAATGCTAAACAAATGTCAGCACATAAAACTCATGTTGCTCTCCATCACAAACCTAAGGAATTAAATAAAATATATTCCATTAACATTTGTCTTCCAAGCAATGCACAGTCATTCATGAAATAAAATAAAAAAAAAAGAACAATTATCTATATTAACACAAGCACAGATAATCTTGAAAGAATTACAAAATAGTAACCTATTTCTATAAAGCACCCAAATTACTAATGCACCATGCTTGTTTCATCAGAACATACAATGTCTGACTGATTTCAAGATCTTGTCTACCTTACCAGCTCAGCTTTTTTGACCAAGCTACCTTGTTGAGTGCCTGTTCAACTCGGCTGTTGCTGTTAGCAGCCCATTTGCCCAAAAAGCCATCACAGCCTGGATGATTTGGCACACAGCAGAAGTAATGATCCAGTTTCCTCCTGGAGATTTGTATGTTTATTTAAACCTGGTAGTAGGATGAAAAATCTGTGGCCTCAGCTGTTGATGCAAAGTGTTCTCTTACTGTGCCTGTGCTTTTCACTGGATTTATTTTACACTTCCTCTCATATCTTTAACTCCATTAAGTTATGATAGTATGTAGATTTGGGACCTGGTCTTCCAATATCTTATAGGTGTATATTACAGTACTGTGAGGCTTTCCCAGTTTTTAAATCTTTTACTAACTTTGTGGGCAGTAAATGAGTTTTGTACATTTTCCAGTTCTGATATCTCTCCTGTCTTGAACAGAGCTGGGAGTACATAGTAATATTCTAAATGTGAAAACACAAGCAACTAGAATATTTTGAGATTAGATCATTGGATAACACACAATCTGTTAACTAACGTGTTTTTGCTCGGTTGCAAAACTGCAGCATATTTCTGTAAAGTAAAAGGACACAAGTGCAACTAATGTGACATTTATTGTGGCAACGTTTCGCTCTCCAGGAGCTTTATCAAGCTTGATAAAGCTCCTGGAGAGCGAAACGTTGCCACAATAAATGTCACATTAGTTGCACTTGTGTCCTTTTACTTTACATATTGTCGGTAATTCTACAACTTTATTACAGCATATTTCTGGCAAACATGCCATAAAAAATTGATTTACATGGTGATGTAAATCAATGTAGGGGAAAAAGCAGCATGCACAATGATCTTCCTTCTGCCTTACACCAAGCCTCAGGGGTAGGCTATTGTCTTATAGGGAAGGTCTACATAATGTACACAATCTCATGTACCCAATGATTCATTTATACAAGTTCAACAACACACTTGGCCTGTATTTGTGAATAGGCTTTTTATCTTTTCATCATCCCATCTCATTTCTGAATAGTAACAATGGCATCCAAGAGAAATCAGAGTGATCCAGGAACTGCAAAGAAAAATAAGCGTAAAATTCTTGGCGTTTCAAAGAAAATCAAGACACAATGAGCCTATGACCTGAATGAGGCATCAATTTGAACAATTAAGATGGGGCAAACATATGAACTTGTGTAATGAGTAACCCAGGTTGTGATCAAAATTTGTCACCAATGAACATCTTAGATGCTCCTCGACTTACGATGGGGTTACATTCATATGAACCCATCGTAAGTTGAATATGAAATGATAATAAATAGGTAAATAAATAACTACTGTTACTGAATAAATAATTAATTACTGTACGTACATACCAGTACTGAAAAGTAAATATGTAAATGAATACAAGTTTATCCTATCAATAAATGATGATTACCATCCTAAAGTTGAAATATAGTTTGCTGAACCATCATAAGGTGAGGAGCATCTGTGTGTTAATTTTAATTTGCTCAACGGAAGAGTCTGTTGATATCCGATTGTAATTTTTTGTCACCTACCCAGGCAACTTTCACACTTACTTTGTTATCACCCACAAAAGATGATTTCAAGCAGTGACTAGTGTTTGCATCCATTTATTTCAGCTATAATGATGAAAAATGGTAAAGGTGTTAGGACTGTGCCTAGGAATACTGAACCTTCTACTTGGCAGATATTCAAATTTGTTTTCTTTACTACCACTCCTTATGTTCTATTAAGTCTGAATATACATATACACAATCTGAAAGGATACAATCTTTTTATCTATATTTAAAAGAGGATTCATGACAATCACATAAAGGTCAATGATGGAATCAACTTATGCATACTGTTCTATATTGATTAATATTTAATTATCAATACAGATATATCTACATAAAAAAGCCGAGCCTACTTTAAACACATCTTCATTTCTTCCCTAAAAACTACTTTACAAAAATCTAAAATGCATTTCGTTACAAATGGAAAGATAAACACACAGGCATACATGCACATGTCCACCCAACTGAGCCAGAGATAAATGTCAGGTAATTATTATTATTGTTATATTCATTGGGGAGTGAAAGAAGAAAGGGGAAAGGTAAGGTTAATACAGTGCCTGGAGAATGAAAGGCATACATATTCAATCCTTAGATCAAGATCCCCTCACTAGCATCAAGGAATCTCCCTTGAAGGGAGATATGTCAGGTAAGCCATCTTCAATTAAGACTAACAAGTGAAACTAACAACGCAAAAAAGCTAGACGGCAGCTCAAATGCCAGCATATTATAATTGTCTCACCGCAGTCGCTTCAATACAAACAGCATGTTGATAGCAAGACGGTAGTTCAACTGCCAGCTGAAAGGACTGTTTTGTGTGTGTGTGTGTGTGTGTACTCACCTATTTGTACTCACAGGGGTCGAGTCATAGCTCCTGGCCCCACCTCTTCACTGATTGCTACTAGGTCCTCTCTCTCCCTGCTCCATGAGCTTTATCATACCTCGCCTTAGAACTATGTATGGTTCCCGCCTCCACTACTTCACTTTCCAGGCTATGCCACGGCTTGACTACTCTATGACTGAAGAAATACTTCCTAACATCCCTTGATTCATCTGAGTCTTCAACTTCCAATTGTGACCTCTTGTGTCTGTGTCCCATCTCTGGAACATCCCGTCTTTGTCCACCTCGTCTATTCCACGCAGTATTTTATATGTCGTTATCATGTCTCCCCTGACCCTCCTGGCCTCCAGTGTCGTCAGGCTGATTTCCCTCAACCTTTCTTCGTAGGACAATCCCCGTAGCTCTGGGACTAGTCTTGTTGCAAACCTTTGCACTTTCTCTAATTTCTTGACGTGCTTGACTAGGTGTGGATTCCAAACTGGTGCTGCATACTCCAGTATGGGCCTGATGTAAATGGTATACAGAGTCTTGAACGAATCCTTACTGAGGTATCGGAACGCTATCCGTAAGTTTGCCAGGCGCCCGTATGCTGCAGCAGTTATCTGATTGATGTGCGCCTCAGGAGATACGCTCGGTGTTATACTCACCCCCAGATCTTTTTCCTTGAGTGAGGTTTGCAGACTTTGACCATCTAAACTATATTGTGTCTGCGGTCTTCTTTGCTCTTCCCAATCTTCATGACTTTGCATTTGGCAGAGTTAAATTACAGGAGCCATTGCTGAACCAGCTTGTAGCCTGTCCAGGTCTCTTTGTAGTCCTGCCTGATCCTCATTTCCGATGATTCTTTCTCATTAACTTCACATCGACCGCAAACAAGGACACTTCTGAGTCTATCCCCTTCCGTTATGTCATTCACATATACCAAGAACACACAGGTCCTAGATTGATACCCTTTGGAACCCCCCCCGCTTTGTCACAGGCGCCCACCTCTGACACTCTCTCACGTACCATGACTCTTAATTTGCCTCCCCTGTCAGGTAATCCTGATTCATTATGCAGTGCCTTTCCTGTTAATGTGGTGCCCTGATCCTCTAGCTATTGCAGTAACCTCTTTAGTGAGGAACTGTGTTCGAAGGCCCTTGCAGTCCAAAAAAATGCAGTCTAATCCAACCCTCTCTCTCGTCTTAATAAATTAGACACATGTGCCACTCATTGGGTATCTATTGTTGAGGGAAACGTTTCCACACAGTGGCTTCATCAGTCCATACAAAGGAGAATCTTCCTTAAGAACAGGAGGAGAATGAGGTAAATCATTCCCACAAACTTGAGGTTCGATGTGGTCAGTAGTCCCAACAACTTGAATAGTAAAACGGCATAAACGTGCTGAGAAGGAGCTTATAAAACCGTTTGGCAGGAGAGGTGCAGCCTTCCATAGGTCATATTTCCACATCAAAGATAACCCAAGATTGCACGAATGTTCTAAATTATCAACATCGGTTCTCGCACCATTCATCTACAAACTCTCTTGTCTAACTTCTGTCACATTGGCAAAAAACATCTAGTAGGTTTGTGACAACACACAGGAATTATCCCCCTCCCCTGAAAACCATTCTGGTTGTCAAATATACTCATGTTTCTTTCCAGTGCTCCACCACTCTCCTCCTGAAGACTTCTCCCCATGACTTTGCATACTTAAAATACACGGTAGTGATACAAAACAGGTCTGTCGTTTAGGTGCCTCATGTCAGTCTCCCTTTTAAAAAATTGGGACTACAATTGCCATCTTTTCCTAACCCGTGGTTGTTTGCCCAGTTTCAAATGATTGTTAAATCTTGATTAATGGTACACACAAATATCCTCTGCACCTCTTTAAAGGACCCCACAAAGAGATGTTGGCTGGTCCCACACCACCGCCTTTGAGTTGTCGCAAGAAGTTCGCATAGCAGCATCTCTCACCCGCTCCTCCTTGGTGTATATGTAAAAAAAAAACCCCATCATCCAGCACTTGCTGGTGCACACCCCCCCTGCTCTGATTACCTGGAGTCCTACTGTATCACTGTAAATACTTTTCTTTAAATCTCGTGTTGAGCTCCTGACATAACCTCCCGGCCCCGGTCGTTTCCTTGTGAATTCCCCATCACCCTTCCTCCGCAGTCTCTGAAATTACCTGTCCTTTGGAATGTTGTTTTTCCTCCTGATTGGCTGTACAAACAGCTTCGGGTCAGCTTGACTTT